GGGGAGTCGGAGTGATGTCATCATGTTTAGGGATAGAACAGATAAGACGTGCTGCTGTATTTTGTAGCTGTTGTAGTTTAGACAGATGTACATCTGTGACACCAATGAACAATTGAAATATATTTCATCACTTATTATATAATAGCATATTAGATATTAAGATCAAGCATAATACACATCTATCAGGGGTGTAAACAGGAGAAAGAGAATTTAACATACTAATTTTACAATGTCATTATGATCATAATGAATAATCATGCAGTCACGAAATACAAATTCCATTCAAACAATACTACACCTGCACAAAATACAATACTTTTAAAATTAATATCACCAGCATATATTATATACAGTAGAACAAAGTTTTCAGGTCTAGTTTTCATATTGAATGAAATAGCTGCTATAAATTCCACTTGCAGTAGTATTTCGGATTATTACCATAACAGTAACAAAGGTTTCCTTAATAGGTCAACTGAGTTGTGACATTATAATGTTGATACATAAACTGGGATGTCACACTGATAACTTGACAATCTTCTTTATCATCGCCATATAAGCGAGATATGCAAAACATTTTAGATGCCATAGAGTCAGGATAGCAGGTGTTGTCACAATCCATACCATTGACATATATATAGCATCCAAATTTAAACAATAAACAATATATATAGAAGTTAACATTTACATTGAAATCATATATATGTCAATGATCCATACTCATAGAATTTTGACAGTTTTTCAAAACTTTATTGTATATAAAATCACATGAAGCAAATTTTCTGTCAATTGTTTATATTTATAATGCATGGATTACATTTGGATTTGCCAACGTCAACTGTTGAGACTTGAGTAATATACATAAACTATTCAAGGAACATAAATTACTGCAGCAAACAGGTCAATCATACACAATCAAACTTTTTGGTCGTATAATAGTAGCAATACCATACATATTAAAAAACCTTTGCTGGAAATATAGCTCTTACTTTATACATCGTAGAAATTGCATTCATGTTTAAACACTAGTAGCCTACATTGAATATTGTTTACACATTGGTACATTGAAAATTGTTCATTATGATTCTTTAATTCTTACCTTAAAACAAAAACACTTCAAACACAGTTCAAGTCGACAAGAGTGAAAATATATAAAGTACTCCTCGAAATTAGCTCGAAACGTACCGCCATGTTGATTTAGTCTGCGAACAGGCTGCTGCGATTCTACGGTTTTCTCACTGATCTATATGTTCTACACTGAATAGTCATTTCTGCATAGTGCGCTGATTGGCTAGGGACGGTCACAAGCTAAAATACTAGACACTGATTGGCTGCAAGCTAACAGCTAACAGATAAAGCAAACTCGATAGCATAGTATATCTGCTGCGCAGATACAAAAATGATCACTTTATTACGCAAATTTTACCTGAAAATGTCAAAATTTTAACCCAAATTTTACCCGATTTTTACCTGAATTTCACTGTTGTGTGTGTGTGCGTGTGTGTGTGCGTGTGTGGGGGGCCCGCTCACGACGTCCCTGGTTCTATGTTACAAGGTGCTCACGAAATCAATGCCTAATACCAATCTTAATAACCACAATCATATGTATTCGTGGGCGTAAAATGAGCGGTTTAAATATCCCTTTCCTAGCTTTGCTTTTCGCCCTCGCCTTGGGCTTATGATCAGGTTCTGTTTTATAAGAGGGTCTTAATGGGGGTCTTTGGGTGTCAGTTGTCAGCTAAAATTTAAGCCAGTTGTCAGTTGTCAGTGCGATATATTGCAAGCTGTCAGTAGTCAGTTACTGCAAAATGCTGACTCATCACTTTTTCATCATTTCTCAGTTGTCAGTTAGGATATTTTGTCAGTTGTCAGTCAAAAATTCAGGCAAATGTCAGTAGTCAGTTAACCAGATGTGCTTTTGTGTTGATTAAAAGGGTGTTGTTATAAAATGGTTGTTGTTTTAATAAATAATTCCACTTCTTGTCCAAGAAAGTATAAAATAAAAGTAGAAGTATACCACTGTGTGATATGATTTGTTTTCGTGTTTTTGATTAAACAGGTATCCCTATTTTATATGAAGCCTTGTTTCATTTCAGATTTGATATAAAATCCTGTTCGTAAAAACATATAAAATACTACATATAGTTCTAAAACCATGGCGCTTTGTACGATTTTCCCCCCTGTAGTTTTCTTTTGCAAGATATTTTTCCCTTGGTTAAAGTTCTGCTCGAATTTTTTTTTTGGTATTCCCCCCCCCTCTGGAAAATCTAATGGTCCATCCCTTATTAGATGCAACATTCTTGGCCTCGTTTGAACGTCTGTCTTGCATATTCAGCGTACTTTCAACGTACCAGGCAGACTGCTCAACCAACAGAAAATTATTTAAGTGCACGAGATAACCTTGCAACTTATACCAGCTTAAACATGATGGCATAGTGTTTTAACTCTATTACTCGCAGGTTGATGAATACCCTCACAAAAGAACTCACAGGGTTAGCCGGTTAGAAATGTGACTAGGATTGCATGGATTTGGATTGAGCATTCCATTGATTATTGAAAACGACTTTTTAACTTGTCAGTTGTCAGCATCGCTTTTCTGACGTGATAAGAGATGCCGACAACGGAAAAAGGCGCTTCGCGCGAACAAATTCGCCTACAGTGGAAAACGGGCTTAAGTTTGGTCAACCAAGGTTTTATACAACCACCAAACCGTCCCAGATGACGAGAAAATATAACAAAATTATTACATACGGCAATGGTACAATTAATAGTATTATAATACAATATTTTTAAATAATTTGAATTATAACTATGATCTATATACAAAATTAAATTAATTAATATCTGGCACACATCAAACTGCTGTCGAATAGAGTTGATTTAGAGAAGAAAAATATGAAAGTATATCATTGTATTGCCCGAGTTCTGCAAGATCAGAAGGAAGATAGCCATCCTAAAAAAACAGAGAGAAAACATTTATCTCCATTTTTCAAGCAAACAAACGGGTGAGCATACAGGCAAAAGGCCTACTCTGGGGCAGTAACTCGCCTAAACTCGCCGCGAGATAATGCGATTTTAGGCGATTGCAAAAACTGCAACTTTTAAGCAATGCAAGTTTAGGCAAGATTGTAACCACGGTTAAATTGCTTTCCGCAAAATTGGCAGCTCATTCTTTTAGCACTGACTATGCAGAAATGCCTTGTTATTGAGCAACACTGCAATTTTATGAGCATGTGCTCATGAGCAGTTATGAGCAGGTGCTCATTTTCAATCTTAGGGTTCAATTTTAGGATTCAATGATTCAATCTTAGGATTCAATGATTCAATCTAGGATTCAATGATTCAATCTAGGATTCAATTATTCGAATGGAGCTCGGATCCGAGCTATTTAGAGTGGCTGTGAGCCTATCCAGCTTGGCTCCGAATATCATACAATATCTTAGGATATCATACAGTATCTTAAGATATGATACAGTATCTTAGGATCTCAATATCTTAGGATATTATACAGTATCTTAGGATATTACACAGTATCTTAGGATATCAGTATCTTAGGATATCAATATCTCAGAATATCATACAGTATCTTAGGATATCATGCAGTATCTTAGGATATCAATATCTTAGGATATCAATATTTTAGGAAACGTTCGTGTGGTAAAAAGTTGTACTAAATTTCATAAAATTTGTATTCAATAATAACACATTTTGTTAGCTTTTGTTGGTGTTTCTATACAATCATCGTCTCTACATTTATGTGTTATATTACATGAACGACAATGCATAAGTAAGACAATATGTTCGTACGTAGCAAATACAACATACAAACTCCCACCCACAATTATAAAAGTTTGTCGGTTCAGTACATTTATCATGTTCAAAAGTTATAGTCCACATTTCTATCATTTCTTCTACATCAAACATTTGGCAATCCATTTCAAACAAACATCTATCGTCCTCGAACTCTATCGTACTTTCTCTTCTTGTATAATGTAGTGGTAGTTTTGTAGTGTTCGGCCCAAATTCTTCACATTGTTCACATTTTCTGGCATGGTATTCATTTTAGAGATATACAAAATCAGTGTGACAAATACTATTTGGTTTGGGATATTTATATGCAATCCCTCTTTTGTTAAGAGGTGTACTTGTAATCAGGCTTGTCCTGTCGTGAATGACCTCTTATAATGACTTTTGCTAAAAATCCTGGCGGTTTTTATTCAATTTATACTTTACTAAGTGCACTCACACCTCATTAGTATTGCATTTGGCGGGAAATTTTGTTACTTCATAACTGTAGCGCTACACTTTAAGTGTTGCGCTACACTTAAGTGTTGCGCTACACTTAACCTTGCGATTATGACGTCCACTTGAATGCTCTCTTTGTGACGTCACTTTCAATATGGAAGCTTCCGATCCTGTATTGGGGGGAGGGGGGGGGGGGAACACCACTGCTTACCTAATCTAATTCCATATATACATAGCCTAGACTATTTTATCTTTACAACAATTGTGATATTACTTTCTTAACTGTGTTTTTTCCTGACAAACCCTGTCAACCTCCCCTGGAAAAAACCCACCACTTTCGGAAGAGCGTTGACTGACTCTTCACACGAGTCCTAGGCTAGTTGGCGCTTGCTATAGGATGGCTGCGCCACCGCGAAGGCCCATATTGTATCAAATAGCCGGGTTTTTTTTACCTGAATACTCTTCAATTAAAAGTCAAACAATATAGTAAAAAAGTAGGAGGACAAACAAAAAGAAAGTAAACATACCTGATTTCGAATATCTACTTGTCCACCTGCTTCAACCAGCAGTTTTACAATATTTAAATGACCAAAGAGACATGCCCCATGTAGCGCACTTTGTCCATTCTGGTGTATTAAGACAACAATATTTTAAAGACTACCCAGATCGAAGAAGAGCTTGGTTGGTATAATTCACTTAAAGGTACAGTGCTGTCTATTGAATGATGGTTTGATAAGACATACAGACAACATTCAATTTTGAAAACATTACTGTCTTACTTTCTATCTATCCAACATATTATACATGCTATTGATTGAGCAACAGGTCAGATATATTATAGAGACATGCAGAGCTGGAGTAAAATGAACTGTCTGTGCCAGTGTATATTAAGGTAGTGCCGAAAGTATTAACAAGCTTTCGTTGGTAGGGATGCAAAGTGAAAAAATATAAGGAGAATTTCGACGTTTCAAGCGAAGGCGCTTCGTCTGGAGTTACTATAGTGGGAGTCCGGAAAAATACATGAGCTTTATACTAAGAATATAAAAACATCACGTGACAAAAAATAAACCAATCCGATGGATTTAGTGAAACATAGTACAAACAAAAAATGTAAATGACATTACAGAATATATTAATACAAATATACAGAAAACTACAGCATTCCAATACTTGTGTCATATATTTCATATATTTTGTTGTATTTGCTGTAATTTTCTGTATATTTGTATCAATATAGTTCTGTAATGTGATTTACATTTTTTGTTTATATAGTTTGTTTAATTTTGACTAAATCCATCTGATCATGGTCTATTTTTTTTCACGTGATGTTTTTATATTCTTCGGTATATAAAAGCTCATGTATTTTTCCCGATCCCTGTTATAACTGCTGCAGACGAAGGGCCTTCGCGTGAAACGTCGAAAGTCTCCATATATTTTTAGGTAGTTGCATCCCTATACCAACGAAAGCTTGTTAATACTGGAGTAAAATGGCATGCTCACTTAACCTGTTTGCACTAAGAGTTTTATCGAATAGCTTTATCTTTCGCGAGTGGTTCATCTTAGCGGTCCGTACTCTGAGGGTACGTTCATATGAACCCAGCTAACCGAATACTCACCTGAGTGAGATTTGCATGGCCTTTGTTAGCGTATAAAAAATTCAATTTGTCGCCTCTCGCCTTGCGCTGCATGGGTGATATCTTGGTCAAGTACATGGGATAAATGTTCCATAATGCCATATATGAAGGTCTTATCCCACCTGACTTGGGATTGGCTTTTTCGACTTATAATATGGTATTGAACGGGATAGGTTGGGAAACACAAACAAAAAATAAACATTACTAGACTTAAGACACTACATGTATATCTTAATACAAGGTGCATTTTGTATATTTCGAAGACGCCATGTTTACATTTTTTCGGCATATGAATACAGTTACTCAGTAGAGGCGCGAGCTTCCCGCCAAACCAGACTCACATGAACAGGCCATGAAGTCTAAAATCTATAAAAGTCATTTTAATTGAAAAGATAAAAATATAATACGGTCATATAATTATATGTATGTCCCTTCGTATATCCCGCGGCTAGTGTGGATTAGTACTAACTGTATATCGAGCCAGCTTATAAGCAGAACTTCGACGTTTTCAGGCCCTTCGTTGGCTACTAACCTCCCCAAAAAAGGGCCTTCGCTCGAAATGTCGAAGTTCTCCTTATATTTTTCAGGTAGTTGCATATCTTTGACATCGCAGCTGCATGTTTTATCGTCTCTACCTACACAGACACGGACCATCCGAGATTTTAACCGTAGTCTAATAGTAGTCTCATAGTTTTAATAATTAACGAATAATGAGTTAAACAAAGTGCTGGCACTGATGGTGTCCTACGGCTGACCTAGGATGCATAGACGGATTTTCATATTTTTTACTGGGGTGGTGCCAGAAATTTTAGGGGGGGGGGTGAGCCGTGAGCAGGTGACTGAAGCAACACAAAGTGTCACCAAACCCCAGTAAGGTCTATAGACTATATTCTATGGGTGGAGCACTATACGCGAGGGGGAGTCTAGAGAGCAGAAAACAAAGTATCCCTGGAACAATTGGAAAAAAATCATGATTTCTAGCTTCGAAAAAAGTTTTTTGAAGTTGTCATAGTAGGATGGACAATCTAATAGTATAAGAGTATTTACCTTTAATAAACCAAGCTCAGGCTTGATATGGTGATTAAGCAGATGGTCAACAACACGAACATGACCTTTATGACAGGCTTTAAATAATGGAGTTGAACCATCCTTAAACAGAAACAAGAATAAGTTTTATAAGAATACTGTAAACAGTCTTTTGGCACCTTTACTTGCAGGTGTGTTTAGCAAACAGACAAAGCCGGTTTTCCACTGCATGGGCGGAATTTTGCGCGCGAAGTGGAATTTCTTTTTTTAGGCCTCAATGACAATCTGTCAATCAATAAAGTTTTTATATCATATACAAGAGGGAGCAAGGGTCGAAATTTAAATTTGTTTCTATACTATGCACAACCAGAATTATTATACTACATTTTAAAATTTATTATTCTTTTTGAAGATCCACAATTCCTTTAGACTTTACCTCTCTGCAGAGATAATGTCTCTGACACCTGAACTGAAGACACTCTATGATGTTATCAAAGTTATATACTCCAAGACAAGGCTGGAGTTTGGTGAAAATGGTGGGGGAACCGGGAGGTAGAAAAAACTTTAGGGGAGGTGCAGCGGTCTAGCTTCACCTGCCCTACAAAGTTTCAAAGTTACGATATCATGGGAGGTGCGCACCTCTCCACACGCTCATCTATCAAATGTATTTCTCTGTTATGCATTATTGCTCTATTGCTCCAACTAAATTATTTTTGACGACGTCATGTCTTTGTGTTTTAGGGACGAATTATTAATGATTTCAAGTAACAATAGCCACTGTACCTCTCTGCATTGATCGACCGAGGCTCCAGCATAAAGAAGCAACTTGACAACATTACTATGTCCCATTTGGCAAGCTATCCACAGTGGAGATGTCTTATCCTACAAAACAACTCTGTCATTCAATAATGGAAAATAGTTATACAGGATGGAAAGAAATGGCTTATCGTAAATCGTAATTTACTGTATAAACTACTCGCTCATAAATTACATAACTTGAATGCGTTCGCATTCCAACAGGCACGTTCCACACGTGGTCTAAAACGCATTCCTGGCATGTTCAATGAAGACATTAGAGAGCACGTAACGTAAAAGACAACACAGATGTCACGTGTACATAATTTAACCGTTAAAGTACCTATGTTCATAGTCAGGGAATTGGTGTATTTCGATTATTTAGGTTATTCTAAGAGTTTTTGTAATATATTTCATAATTCGAAAATTTGATCTTCATGGACTTTTTGGCGCTCAAAGTTGACACTTTTTCGTGTTACCATGAACATAAAAGTACTGGGGAGAGAATGCCTTTTAAGCGCCGGCGTGACGTCATTTCGGGAACTCGTCAAAACAAAATACATATGGTTTACTATAGTTTCTTGATATAAAATCGAGTATAAATTAGATGTTTAATTTCTGGAAATTTTATCGATATTTCGATTGAAATTTAAATGGAACTATATCCTTAACCTTATCCGACTGACAGGCAGGTCGTTCCAAAATTCATTTAACGACGAGGAACAGTGATGCATTACCTTTCGACATTTATTTATAGATGCGCCACAGTTGAGTAGACATAGCACAACTTCAGTGCGTCCATTTTGAGAAGCAACAAATAGCGGAGTGGCACCGTCCTGAAATGAAATTTATATTGTATTTTAATTTCAATAAGACATGAAAGTTAAAACTGCACTGTATTATATTAAAATGGAATATTAAGTTTTTATGCAACAAAATTTAACGGCCTACTTTAAAAGGAATACTCATGTATACAGGAATTATAAAATCAAATATTTAAAGATATCGTCGCCAAAATATTTCGTGCATTTAAATTGGATAAGCTAGAAATCCCCGTTGACTTGATAGCTGAATGGGCAATGCGGCGGTCTAGATACTCGAAGATAGAGTTTGAATCCCGCTTGTGACAACGAAGTTTTCGTTGCTCTCTGCTGCAGTGTCAGAATATGAAACTAGTTTTTCATATTTCCGTGGATGGTTGCGTTTGATGGTTCAAATGTAAAATCAGTTTGACATATTTGAAAGAACGTTTAATGTTTTTTACAGATTTTTCAAATCTTACTTAGTTTTTGAAATCACATTTAGGTCGAAAACATGATATACAGAATCAATGAGTTTTCCGCCATGTTGAATTGTTGTTGATATGCATTGTTACGTCACAACCTACAGCTCAGTGGTTACAACTGGGGTCACACAAAATTTTTTACCTAAAAGTATATCTTTGGTCACTATTTCAAACAACAAATTGACTCATGATCATGAAAACAATTTTAAACAGCAGCTATATTATGTTGTGTTTGGTCATCCGAGCGCACAGTTTAATTCGCTTTTAAGTTGCCGCGAATATATGAGCATTTGAAACAAAACTATACATGTCAAATAACTTCATACATGTCAAATAAATTTCTGACTTTCAGTTGCATTTCTCTTAAAATATTGTCAATTCTGGTGTACATCGTGCTTATTCGTCAGTCTTTAGGGCTTCATTTTCGTATTCTGACTATGGTTACTGTACTGTAAATTAAATAATAGGCTTTTTACTTTTTGGGCAGACTTTTTAGTTAAAAAAATGTTTTACTCCTCGATTTTTGGCGCGAAAACCAGAGGTAGAACGGGCAGTCGCATTTCACAGCTGGTTAGTTGTGTTTCAGAGCGGGCCGGATCTCTGAAACGCTCCTCAGATTGCTTCATTTTCACCGATTAAAAATAAAACACATTAATAATACTGTATGTTTAAACGACTTGGTTGGGCGTTTATCACGTATTACTGTTTTTGCAACTAAATTACTTTCACTTTGGCAGTGTATCTCGATAAAATTGCACTGCACTTATAGCCAATCAGAATCGAGTGATTTTTTCATGTATATTACCCACATAGTAATATTATCCTTGTAATAAAGTCGGTCAATTTGCTCTTTCTTGCAACACATATACCGTATAACCAACTGACAAAAGGCCTTATCCCAAACAAATTAAACATAATTGTACATTTACATGCATAATTATATCATTTACATGCATAATTATATTATTTACATGCATAATTATATCATTTACATGCATAATTATATCATTTACGGGTTTGTTTCCAATGTTACGGTATTTGCTCTATAGCCACCTCATGGGGCTTATTTTATTTTTTGTCATGAGATTGTGGTCTGAGGGCTTATTAGAAGATAGCTAAATAGATGCTGCGGGCTATATAAATAGGAAAATACGGTGAAGACGTAAGTACCGCACAGAAATTGATCCAGTTAAATTATCGATAAAATTACAAAATTCTATAAGTATAAAAAAGCCATTAATAAAGATTATATTTATACTAACCTGTAAAGGTGCATTAAGCGATGGCTTGAACGAAATTAATTCTCTAACAACATCAACATAACCAGACTGTGAGGCAATAAACAATGAAGTGGCAGTTTCCTTCGAATAAAAGTAAAGAAGAACGGATGAAAACCTTGGTAAGAATACATATAAAAAATTTATAAAAGACCAAATCATAAAACATGCATGCGGTGCCACACCATTCAGCATGAGCTCCACCTTTGAATTTACTATATGAGTAAATTGTTAAACACGACCGAAATTATCAATACAATAAATTCGCGACACATGTCGAGCCGTAACCCCTAACCTAAACCTAACATAATCTTAATCTAACCCTAATCTAATCTGTATCTGAAACTAATCTAAACTTGATGACCTTTTTTATTTTTTTGATAATCTCCCCACCCCTGCTCGATCTTGTCTAATGATTGTGGTTTCATTTGTATTTGAATTTAATTATATTTATACACGGTAACCTATCAATTGACATCAGGGGCGAAACATGAGGGGAGTATGACCCCCCCCCCAAAAAAAAAATACGAATCATCTGGATTGGCAGGGCAATCAAATATTTTAAAGTTATTTTAGAGTTATTAAGTAACTTGCAGGGCTTTCGGAGGGAATTGAATAGAATTTATAGACCTAAATTTTACAGATATTGGTCCAAAAATAAGAGCTTCACCCACGTTTTAACAGGAATTTGTACGGAAAAATTATTTTGACCCTTAATTTAACTGGTTTATGTCCGGAAAAATTTTCCAACCCTTTTTTTAATATCCAGGTCTTCGCCCCCATATAACTAAAACTTCTCTTCATAGAGTTCGTGTTTGGTTTTGACAGTCTTAGAAATTTGCCATTACTTCTTAAATTACAATTAAAATTGTTGCACTTTTCAAAAAGGCTAGCTATTATCTCCGGACCGTTATCATTCATAACATTACTCATACATTTTCCATGAGATTTTGTCGCCTTTCATCCAGCGTTTTCCAGCCTAACTTAAGTAATATTTGTTTTGATCGGACGTCATAATTATCACCTGTAATGACCCTTGCCGCCCTGTTTTGAAGTTTTTAGTGTAATTTTAATTTCAATGTTTCTGAACAATTACTCCAAACAAGGGAGCAGTAGTCAAAATGAGGTAGAATAAGTGCATTATAAATCATTTCTTAAAGTATCTCGAGAAACAAAAGACTTACAAAATCGTAGCATTCATATACCCTTCGAAGTTTTCTTACAGATACTATGTATATTCTCCTTCCAATTTAGCTTGTCATCTATAATGATTCCCAGACTTTTTGTTTTATAAACGCGTTTTATATTATTATTTCCAATTGTCATAATGGGATCCGTTTGAACTTTAGTAAGGTTGTGCTTGGATCCTATTATCATGAATTCAGTTTTAGTTGTATTTAGTGTGGGCCAAGATTTGATCCTTGAGGTATCCCACATCGAAAGTTCCTGATTGATCACTGACTTTGATTAATTTTACAAAATTGTTTCCTA